CTCTTGTTAGTATATTTACTACAGAGCTTTCCAAACTGTGTTGTGATAGATTAGTTAGTGTGCGTGGCTACAGTGTGTCGTACAAATTATTATTATTATTATTATTATTATTATTATTATTATTATTAACTTTATTTGTACCCCACTAGCATCTCCCAAAGGACTCGATGCGGCTTACAAAGGCCAAGGCCTCAATAAAACAACAACATAACAAATACACAACTTAAAGCAAATCAAAACATTAAAGCAATAACAAAACAACAAAAACAATACACCATAACACAATAAAACTAGGGCCGGGCCAAATGTGATGGGTACAGATTAAAAAGTGCTGGGTGTGAAAGGTGGTATGTTGGATTTTAGGGTAAGTGCAGTGTGCGGCAATCTTAAAACTCTGATAAAGTGCTTCTGGGACAAGTTGCTGGAGTTTTCCTATTCTGGAAAGGCACATCGGAACAGCCAGGTCTTCAAGCTCTTCCTAAAGACTGCCAACGTAGGGGCTTGTCTGATGTCTTTGGGGAGGGTGTTCCAAAGTCGGGGAGCTGCCACAGAAAAGGCCCTGTCCCACGTCCCCACCAAACACGCCTGCGACGCAGGTGGGATCGCGAGCAGGGCCTCTCCGGATGAATGAAGGGAACGTGTGGGTTCATAAATGTAGAATTTCTTTTACGTTTTCCACATATTTACATATTCTTACTCGCAAATGACAAAATTTTTGTACATTTATGGTACTATCTTACAAATCATATATGAATTATAAAAATAATTAATAAAACTTTATTTATATACCTCTCCATCTCCCCGAGGGGACTCAGAGCGGTTCCCAGGTAACATCACAAAACATACAAAGTAAAAACAACATAACCATAAGATTAACAAAACAAAATATAAGCATAAAAATTGTCGCCATAACACACATATATTAAAAGTAACCCTGCCTGTTCAAGGCAATTTAAAAATTTAAAAGGCCGGGCCAATTGAACACCATACAGTGATTCCCAGAAGTCTTCTTGCTTTAATCTAGCCACTCATATTTTGTTCTTGGTTTTATGTTTGCTGAATGAATTTTTTTTTTCTTTTCTCGCTCCCACAAGTCAGATGTGTGAACTGCTTAGCAGGCAATGCAATGCTTGCCATGTTTTAATAGATATAACCTGACATCAGTTTACTTAATGTTGATAGCATCTCAATATTTTGGTTTTAAACAGTGTATTTAAATATTGAGACAAATGTTTTAAATATTTACGTATGCATATAATGAATTCATGTCCCGGCATTAAATGTTTGCCATTTGTATGCTGCGCTCTGCCCTGAGTCCCCTTTGGGGTGAGAAGGGCAGAATATAAATGTTTTAAACAAACAAATAATTAAATAAATCATATATATTTTTAATATATATATAAATGAAAGATTTTCATGAGATACGCTGTGTGGCCAAACATTTTGTAATTACTTTATTTATTTATTTACTTTATTTACTTTATTTGTATACCGCCTTTCTCAGCCAATCGGCGTCTTAAGGTGGTTTCCAATGAAACAGTACACATAATATCATAAAACAAGTTAAAACATTAAAACAGTATAAAACAACAACAATAATATCAACATAATTAGCGTCTCTTTATTATCAAGTATTGTCCAGTTCCATCGTCAAATCATTCAATTTCCTATTGATATATGGATCCATCTCTCTTACAAGGGTTGGTTTAATCCAGGGGTCCTCAAACTTTTTAAACAGAGGGCCAGGTCACAGTCTCTCAAACTATTGGAGGGCCGGATTATAATTTGAAAAAAAAAAACCCATGAATTAATTCCTGTGCACACTGCACATATCGTATTTGTAGTGCAAATAACACTTAAAAACAATACAATAATTGAAATGAAGAACAATTTTAGCAAATATAAACTTAATAGTATTTCAATGGGAAGTGTGTGCCTCCTTGTGGCTGATGAGATAGGATTGTTGTTGTTGTGGTTGTGTGCTTTCAAGTCATTTCAGACTTAGGTTGACCCTGAGCGAGGGCCAGATACATGACCTTGGATGGCCGCATCCGGCCCTCGGGCCTTAGTTTGAGGACCCCTGGTTTAATCTCTGGTTTGCTGGTAAAATCGAATTACTGTGTGGCAAAACGATGCATGTCTAAAAAGTGTATCGCCAACACGAAAAGTTTGGAAAGCTCTCTTCTGAGGTCTTGAAATACCAAATCCAAACGTATACTTGAGTGGTTCTCAAGGAAGCTGTCTTGGCAAAGAGGAAATCCAAAATTTTGAGAGTGATGGTTTTCCCTTTTTAATTCAGATGAATGAAAGCAGCAAATATTTAGCTTGTAGCAAGTTGCCTTCTTATAAAAGTAAAGGGGTGTGTGTTTAAAAAGCAAGAGGGATGTTAGGTTGGATTCCCCCCTTCTCGTTGCTTCTTCTTTTTTTTGCCAGTGATTGGATAACAAAATTGCTTCTTGGGGAGAAAGAGAGATCAGCTTGGGTGCAAGTTGTGTGTGTGTGTGTGTGTGGTAGTAGACAAGCAGGCTCCCTAAATGCTAACCCTCTGAATGGAAGGCCTTCATTTTGTGCATATGCAATTAAGCAGCCTGAGAAGGAAGAATGCTGGAAGGGGCATAAAAGGAACCTTTAATCAAGAAGCTGAACGGTCTAATTCAGGATAATAGAGGGGTCCTTACTGTTTGACACAAGAGGGGAAGGGGCACTTTTTTGTCTCCCTTAACATCGGCTTCGTGATCTAACAATCCCAAGCCAAAGAAAAGGAAAGCAGGATACTGCCGCCTGACCTTCCTGGGTCAAATATTGCCATCCAAGTCGAGATTGCTCATTACGTAAGGGCCACTAGGAAACAGATGAAATTGGGCACATGGTAGAGTGTACAATCTGTTCTGAAAGTGCAAGGAGTTTAAAGATTTTCACCTAGAGGCACAATGGAATAATTATGCACCCTTCTCCTGTTTAATAGAAGCTTCTCATTGTACAAGGTCAGAAACAACGGAGTTTACTTTGAATTTTTATGTCCTTAAGTTGGATGCTTTGGACAGGGAGAACTCAGTGCTCCTATTACCAGGATCTATAAATGGTTTAAAATGTAAACTTTAAAAGGCATATCCTGAAGGTGCCTTCTCATCTGTCTATGTAGAGAGAGAATTTAGCTGGTCAATGAAATTACTCACCCTCCCCTTTTTCCTAAAGCTTTTTTCCTTTGTTGTGGTTCAATTGGTCGACCTAGCATTTTGGATATTCAAAATGAGATGCTGGCAGTCAACCCACTTCTGTGGGCCCCGGAGGCAATTCAGGGCCAGTCCTCATGGGAAAACAAGACTGTTAAGTATGTGCGGTTGGATGAAATCAGTGGTGCTCAGCTCACACATGATGTAAGGCAAGATTGTGAGCATTGATAGACACTAAGGGGAAAGCCAAAAGTTTCCTGATCACCATTATTATTTTAGAGTCATGTGTCTGCTGTAATCATGTGGTTACAAAATGTACTTAAAAGATCCCCGAAGGCCTTCCATCCTTGACTTGGATGCAGGGCGTCAGACTATCCCCATTTCCCCCCTATCTGTTTGTTTACATTGCCTATTTTAAATTGTCCATTGCCACATTCTGAAGCTGAAAATGTTGAGCAATTATTTTGAAGATAACTGGATATATATGCATGCTGAAGCCCCTCCATAGTTGGTTTGACTGATCCTTGTTGATTTTGAAGATGAAACTGGTTGGATGTTAACTCAACTTGAAGGTCTCTCGACAGCTTAACTTGAGGCGCAAACTCCTTTGATTTTTCCCGGCCCACCATTTAGTGTATTATGTGACCACAAAAGACAGAATTATGAATCACACTATTTCCATTCCCTAAAGTCATCTTGTATTAATAGCCAGTTCTGAAGACTTGCCAGACTATCTATAGTTGGCTGTCTGCATTTTGTGGTTTGGACTTTTACAGATTTGAGTATTTACAGATTTGGTTTAAAAAATGTTCTATCTAGGAATCTCTAGGTCCTCCAGTGTGACTCAATTGTTACTCAGTTCTTTATTTGCAGTTTTTCACTTTCACGGCAGCCCTGTACCCCTAACCCCAGTGAATGTGGAGGGTTAACTATATTCCTTTTCCTGCAATCTTTGCTTGTCTTCCCCACTCTGAGACTTTTAAACATTGCATGCTATACTCTTTTTCACTTTTACTGTAGCCTGTCTTTCCCTAATAGACTAAGAGTGGGGTCTTTTGCTATCTAAAAGACTATAAGGCTCCTTCTACACTGCCCTATAAACTAAGATCTGATCCTGGATTATCTGATTATCCCAGATTATACTGGAATTCAAATCTGATAACCAGGGATCAGATCCTGGGGTATAAGGACAGTGTAAAAGGGGCCTAAGTATACTATTGTAGAAAGTTGAACACACAATGTTGTGGTGGATGATATAGCTTTAAGAGGGAGCTAGAGAAGTTCATGGAGATGTTCAAGTAGTGGTAAATGACCACATTTGGAAGCATTGGGTTCTGGTTGCCATGTAGGGGCTCAAACATGTGGTTAAACTGACAGTGAAAAAGCAACATGCTGACCTAGATGGATGTTGGTGACAAAGAGCAAATGGCTATATGGAGATTCCATCTGAACATGAGGAAGAACTTCCTGATTGTGAGAACCGTTCAGCAGTGGAACTCTCTGCCCCGGAGTGTGGTGGAGGCTCCTTCTTTGGAAGCTTTTAAACAGAGGCTGCATGGCCATCTGTCGGGGGTGCTTTGAATGCAATATTCCTTCATCTTGGCAGGGGGTTGGACTGGATGGCCCAAGAGGTCTCTTCCAACTCTATGATTCTATGATTCTATACCTATAGTTATATATAGAAACATGAACAAAGGTGTTGGGTTGGTGGATTATTCTGAGAAATGCATATTGGGAGTCCAAATGTGAAAAGTTGATTGTGTGTTTAAGAGTAGTCCCAAAGTTCTCTTTTATTTATTTTGCATCTCTTGATCTTACTGATTCCAGGTATTACTTCAAAAGGGCAAGTGATGAGTTTGACTGTGGAGCAGTTTTTGAAGAAATCTGGGATGACGATGCCGTTCTGCCCATGTACGAGGGAAGGATTCTGGGGAAAGTTGAGAGGATTGACTGACTGCCTGGCCGGCCTTTCCTGCGTGAAGGTGTTTAGGGAGACATAAGCTATAGAGGCCAGCCTCTGGACACAACCACCGAATCAAGCTTTTGAAGGAAAGTTTGAACCAATGAAGAAGAAGAAGCAACGTTAATAAGCGGACATCTGTGAAGACTTTGCCAAATCAGCCTTAGAGGGGAAAATGTAGAAGTCTGTTGCGCTGGGTACCAAGGTGTTGACAACCCTGAACTATTTATTACGAACATGACCACTTTTGGTTACTGAAGATGCAGCCCATTGTTTCGAAAGACTTCCATATATAATATATGGCTTCCTGGGGATCCCACACCTATGGACTAAGAGAGACTATGTATAGTTTATCTTATGATAACCCTTATTGATATTTATTGAACAATCTTGGTTTTATTCCCCCCTTACGTCCAATGATGGACATGCTGCTTTAAACAATGGAGAAAAGAGGGGATATGATGTAGAGGAAGAGGTTGGTTTTATATTTTATTTTTTCATCATTTCCACTGTCTAAATAATTGAAAAATAAAAAAGTGCATTTGTTTCTTGCCACCTTAGAAAGCCAGCTGGGATTATGTTATAGACAGCATTTCTCCAGTTGTTTTATTTCTGGGGACGGGAGAGGAAGAGAAATAATGAAAATTGTCCTACACATGTGCTTTCTTCGAGAATAATGTTTTTTAATCAATGCTGCTCTGATTCTAAGGCTTGGTGTAGACACAATACAGCTTGAGTATCCCTTACCCAAATTGCTTGGGACCTGATGTGTTCTGTATTTTGGATTTTTTCCAGATTTTGGAATTATTTGCATACATTTAAATGAGAAAGCTCAGAAATGGGACCCAAGTCTAAACACAAAATTCATTTATGTTACATACACACCTTATACACAATCTGAAGCTAATATTGTACAGTATTTTTAATCACTTTGTTCACGAAACAAAGTTTGTGTACACGGAACCATCAGAAAGCAAAGATAAGTTTTATTGTCTCGGCCACAAATTGGACAATTCTCAATTTTGGAGTATTTTGGATTTTTGGATAAGGGGTGCTCAATTTGTATTCTTGATTGCCTACTAATGATTAACTAATCAGGAGCCACCAACAGATTAAGGTCCTTTCCTCTCCTCCTTCCTCTTCCCAACCCTTATTTGAACTCGACTGTGTGGTGTTAACAGCGAGCACCTTTGAACGAAAAGTTGCCTTTATTTTAACAGAGGTTGCTAATTTGCTTATGTTCATAGCTACAAAGTCTGGCTTTGAAGCACACTACGGTTACTATTAAGATTGGTGCTGCCATCTTGGTTGGCCCCAGGAAGAGTATGGGAGGAATGGGAGATATTCAAGCACCAGAGCAGAGGAGGAAAAAGCATCTGAAGGCCATAATGGCTCCTGATTTCTTAACCATTAATAGGAGACTGGGAATGCTGCAGCTGCACCAAACCTAACAGTGTTCTCTTGGGTTCAATAATATCACTGCTACAAAGGATAATAATAACATATATGGGTCTTGTCACTCAGACCCCTTCCACGCAACGGAATAAAATCCCACATTATCTACTTATAACTGAGTTATATGGCAGTGTGGACTCAAATAACCCAGTTCAAAGCAGATATTGTGGACTATCTGCCATGATAAACTGTGTGGAAGGGCTCTCAGCTTCTGTGGTAATAATATACATCTGCCTATATATATATTTGCTCCTCACTGTATGCCTTTAGTAACGAAGGCACATTGTGGCAAATCCCAAGCACAGGCAAGGGAACCACGATTTCATAGTGTCCAGTTTTGTTGTAGAAAACCATCTCAAACAGAGGAGGAAAAGTGGTACATGAAGCTTACTAGTTCACATTCACGCCAACATAACTATAGCCAGATTATCTATATTTTTTAGAAATGGTATGTCCTTCAAAAACATCAGCTAGCACAGTGGTTTTCAACCTGTGGGTCCCCAGATGTTTTGGCCTACAACTCCCAGAAATCCCAGCCAGTTTACCAGCTGTTAGGATTTCTGGGAGTTGAAGGCCAAAACATCTGAGGACCCACAGGTTGAGAACTACTGGGCTAGCATATCTTTGTTCCCTGGCTTCTTTCATGTGGTCACTTTTTGTAGCAATGCTTTCAATGTTGCAACTGCAGTTCATAGACTTGAAGTGTCTCAAGATGTGGTTTCCCATCTTAGATGGAATGACTGTTAAAACAATGGGGCTTTGGGCCCCTTCAGGGTATGGACACTGATTCCTAGAACCCCTGAATATTGACCATGCTGGATTCTGGGAATGGTTGTCCAAAACATCTGGAGAACCAAAACCTGGCAACACCTTTGCATGTAATGTTGGTGGCCCTGCATACTCCAGTCAAATAATTTGCTCCAGCAGTCAAGTCAAGAGAAGCTAGTATATAATTTTTGATGTGGTCTCCTAAGTGTTGCCATTGTTGTGCTCAACCAAAAGCCTGCTATGCTACCAGACAAACCAGTCTGGAATGACATCACAGCTTTCTAAGCTTGCCTTGGGCAAATGAGTCATTTTAACTCCTTTGTTGGACAAACATGATACAATGGCTGGCTTTGGGGGCTGCAGCTCCTCCTTTGCAGCCTACCATGCTATAAGGCTTTGCCTGTTGTACTTAATGGCTGAAATATGTACAACCTGGGCTGTAAAATCATCACAACAGTCTGCTCATCTGATTGTATCATTTTGTGTAGTGTAACATGACAGAGTGGGGACACATATATACTCCAGAAAAGACCTTTAATTTGGATGTCCTCTTGGTTCTCGTTGGTGCGCTCTATGCCAATCTTACATTTCTTTTGTATAGTACGATTGTACATAGTGTAGAAAAAATGTGGTGGAAAGAAATACTATTAATACACTATCTCTAGTGTGTTTTTTTAAAAAGGAAAAAACCTTCAATCAGTACAGTACCTGTGCCTGCATGGTGTTACTATGCCATGTTTTGCCCTATGTTCAGGGTGCAGACTCTCCCTTGTTTGTTTAAGGGGTTTATGTATAATATATTTTATGCCTTTTTACTACAAGTCTTGTACTTTATGACTTTTGCCATGACATTTGTTCTACTTATACTGTAAATTATGCATTATAAAGAGTTTCATTTAAAGAAAAAAATTACTTGGTACAATAATTATTGTAATTAAGAGATGTAGCCTTTATTAAAATTTTTATATTTTTCAAATTAATCTAAATCTCTTGTCCTTGTTTTTGTTTTGGACTGAAAAGTCTTTTTGATAATGGAACAGGTTCCCACTATCTTTAGTGTTTTACTTCTTCGACCCCTTCCACACAGTTAAATAAAATCCCACATTTTCTGCTTTGAACTGGGATATATAGCAGTGTGGACTCAGATAACCCAATTCAAAGCAGATGTTGTGGGATTTTCTGCTTTGATATTCTGGGTTATATGGCTGTGTGGAAGGGCCCTTGTTTTTGTGTTCTACTTCTTAGAGCAAGGGTCCTCAAACTAAGGCCCGAAGGCTGGATACGGCCCTCCAAGGCTATTTACCCGGCCCTCATCCAGGGTCAACCTAAGTCTGAAATGACTTGAAAGCACACAACAACAACAACAACAATCCTATCTGATCAGCCAAAAGCAGGCCTACACTTCCCATTGAAATACTAATAAGCTTATATTTGTTAAAATTGTTCTTTGTTTTAATTATTGTATTGTTTTTAATTGTTTTTTTGCACTACAAATAAGATATGTGCAGTGTGTATAGGAATTCATTTATTTTTTTTCCAAATTATAATCCGGCCCTCCAAGAGTTTGAGGGACTGTGACCTGGCCCTCTGTTTAAAATGTTTGAGGACCCCTGTCTTAGAGCATGGAGAAAATAGCAAGAACTTTGGTTTACATTATGCATGTCTTGGCATACTTACCAAAGAGTAAGCTGTTAATCTTCTGGCTAGCTGCCTCCACAAAACTCAATTGGAGGTACAGACAGCTTTGCAAAGCTTTACGTTGGAAACTGCAACTTTCCATGTAGTTTTACCAAAATAAACTATATCTTTTAAAAGGCTTTCAGGACAGCATTTGGGTGAGAAATAGCATCTTTTGCAACAGATCCTCTGCCCTAACAAGGAATACCCTACTAATCTTTTTAACCACAAGTCTAACATTCATCAATACCTCCTTTCTTTAAGAAGTTAAAAAATTTTGCTGGTGATCCCTGACTAACAGTATTTGTCTTATAAAATCAAAAATATGCCCTGATAAAACCCAAAAATTGGGCATTTTCATTTTTTTGCAAGTTTGCCCATGAAAGATGATCTGCTAAGTACAGGACGTCATAAGTTTGTAGACTAGTAAACAGACGGTTAGCTATTTGCACTGTGGCGCAGCTGGCTGAGTGTCAGCTGCATTAAGATCACTCTGACCAAAAAGGTCATGAGTTCAAAGCCAGCCCAGGTTGGAGTGGGTTTCCAACCAATTGTGTGTAGCCTGTTGTCGACCTTTGCAACCCGAAAGACAGTTGCATCTGTCAAGTAGGAAAATAAGGTACCACCTTAAAGTTTGGGGAGGCTAAATTAACTGATTTATGAGGCCATAAAGAAGACTCCAGAAAAAGCATTCCAGCGGGAATGCGGAAGTGCTTCATCAGCGTCGCAGATGGACGATGAAAGCAACAGCTCCCCTGGCGGCCAGAAAAAGTTCAATACCCTCTGTCTATGTCTGTATATGTTTGTACGTCAAAAATTGACATTGAATGTTTGCCATATATGTGTACACTGTAATCCGCCCTGAGTCCCCTGCGGGGTGAGAAGGGCTGTAAATAAATAAATATTTGGAAGCAGATCTTGGAGAAGCTACTGCTTGGCTTCCATGGTGCCTGAGACCGTTCTAGCAGTTGCAATAGTTACAGTTTTCTAATCTAAACTATTTTCTAATCTACTTTTAAATAACTGCTTTACTGAGGAGTTGTCCTTCCCCTTCCAGGGCGCTTGTGCCCTGCTTTGTGCTGGTCAGTGACCGTAATAAAGTTTTGTTGTTGTACAGTGGTAACCACATCCAGCTTGCAAGTTCTCCCAGCCATTATAAGACCACGCAACAACAGCATTAAATGACAAGGTCATTTCTTTTTTCATACTAAGATACTGGACTGTAATTTTTTTTCCGTGTCTGGAGCGGCTTGAGAAACTACAAGTCGCTTCTGGTGTGAGAGAATTGGCCGCCTGCAAAGACATTGCCCAGGGGACGCCCGGATCCTATGAGAGGCTTCTCACATGCCCTTACATGAGAAGCTGTAGCTGAGAGATGGGAATTCACCCCACTCCCCGGATTCCGACTGCCGACCTTTCAATCAGCAGTCATGCCGGCACAAGGATCTCTTCAGGTAAGGATTTCTTCCTAGTATCAATATTCGCTTTAGGTCAAACAAGGCTGTGCCCATGTATTTGCCATCTTTTTCACCTCTCCCCCTGCCCTGCCAGTCCTGAGGACGTACTTTTTGAGAGACCCACAGATAAAAATTCATCTTTTTTTGGCATCCCAAATGGCATCTATGCTTTCCTCCCTTGTGCTTCTCCCCTCCCCACCTTTAACTCTTATCCAGGTAGTAACAAAGTGCATCTGGAATGATTTTGCATGCAAAAGAAGACTTCATTCCCAACATGAGAAAAAACTTCATGCCGAGTACACAGGGCTACGAACTGAATTCTGAGTTAAAATAAAGCTGCAGGCGGTTTCCCCACATTTAAATGGGTTTGCTGTCTTTATTAAACACCTTCTCAAGTTCATGAGTTCACCTTAATTGATGAGCTGGACATAACAGATGGGTAGGCAGACTTCAACAACGTGGGGGGAGAAAGTCCTCTTTCCCCCGCCTTGTTCCCCCATCAAAGGTTAGGAACTTCGCTCTGCACAGTAGTCTTACTTTTTTTCCTCTGCTATTAAAATGAATCACACTGAGTCTAATTCTTCTTGGGAAGATGAATGTGTCTGGATCGGTTTGAAGTCATTCAGTGCCACACAAACCTTTGCATCTTTATATATCAGTGTTCCAAAATACTCGCATTTCTCTTTTCTTCTTTCCTTTCCTTTTTCTTTCCTCCCTTTTTTCCCCCCTGGATGCCTGTAGAAACAAAAAATAAAATGTCTTCAAATACATGGCAGGCTGTTTAGTGAAGATAAAAGACTGTTTGAATAGTCCTTTAAAAATGAATGAGAAGCGGAAACTCTCTTCTGTTTTGATTATAAGTCGGATGCGGTGATTATTAAATACCACCTTAATATGTCACTTTCAAAGAATCGCACCACCTTGACGGTTTCAGAAGGACTGCTTCTGCTTCTGCAACTGGAAGACTGCAAAATCGCTTGACCCGGCCAATATGGCGCGGAGAGCTTGGAAGTGGCTCCTGAAACAATCTGGAGCTGCTCTTTTATAGATGGCTAGGACGCTGAGAGTTTGAGCTTTCCTTGTGTAGAAAAAGAAGTCTCAACTTCCTTCCAGTCTTGCTAGTCTAAATGCAAAAAGGATGACAGGGAGAAGAAAGTCATTAAAGCAAGCGGTATATCAAAGGGAAGATAAAAATGACAGATTTCCAAGTCAACTAATTCCAATTTGACAAGTGCTAGATAACCCCCCATCCCCCCCGACCCACACACCTCCTTTAAACATATAATATTTTTTTTAATATAGGCAACCATTCATAAAATAGGTTACACTTAATTCTTTTTTATTCATAGCCTCTAATTCAGGCTGTCCCATGGTCCACGTTTAGGACACTTTTGGAGCACAGTATTCCATATCTATAATGTATCCCAGTTCTGTCACGCACTGGGCATGTAATAATTGTCTTTTGAAATAGGACGTGCACCTTGTGCCCAGCGGGAAGCCAGGGCGCCACCAAAGAGGCCCTCAAGGATTTTCCTGAAGAAATGGTCTTTAGATGGCTTGAAAGGTTAAACAAAGTCCTTTATTATTGAACAAATTAAACAGATATTTCTCAAATCTTCAATGAGTCAAACAAATGCTTCAAGGCTTTAAATCAACTGGTGGCTTCCTTAATCTTGCCCACAAGGGACAGGCAACTGTCTTCGTTAACTGTTCTTATACTTTGAGAGGAAAACCCTTTTTTAACCTCTACCAGGCTGTCTGTTATCTAAGTTTTGTTGGTGTGGGTGTGCTGGTACAGCTGCACCAGAAGCTCCAATTCTGTTTGCTTTGCATTAAATGTTTGTTTGCAATCCCAGGCTTGGGATTTTGCAGCAGGGTGGCGTCCTGTTTGCAATCATAGGGCAAGCCACCTGTCAATTATAGTTAGGTTCCCTGGTCCCGCCCCTTTTTGAGTTTTAGTGGGAATAGGTGCCATTTTGAGTTCAGTTCTCACAGAGAAGAAGCCTTTCGCACAGGACATAAAAGAAGAGCTCCTGTAGAAAGCTTCGTCTTCTATAGCTTGGCCGGGGAGATGTACAGCCCACAGCTTGGCCAAGGATTATACAGCCTTACAGCTCCTTCTTTTCCCCTGGAAGTCTACAAAGCTCTGCTTGGCAAGGGTTGCTCGCGGAAGCCAGACGCAGTTGGTGCAGGGGCTCCATGCCAACAGAGGCAAGTACAGACTGCCCAGATTAGAAGGTAAGGATTTCCCCATTAGTTAATTACAGTTAAGAAGATAGTGCCTGTTCCCAGTGAACGAGATTGCAAGAGCCAATAGACTGTTAAGAATGCTTTAAAGTACCTGTTTGTTTTTCATCAATAAAGAACTTTGTTGGATTTACTTTAAGCAATCTAAAGACTCTGTTTGGGGGAATCTAAGGGCTTTTAATCTGAGGCAGCCCCGGCGTCCCGTTGGGCACACAGAATTTATGTCCTGTCTACAGTCATATGCACAGGCCAGCATGCGACAGTGGGATCTACTACCGATTCCAAACTGCATCTTGGTACCGAGTAAACCTACCAGACAAAGCTTGTAGATTCTCCAGCTGGAGTTCTTTGGGTCTGTAAAGCTGTTTTCCCTCTGGAATTTATTTAAGACTTTAGGGCTGCTTCCCTCAGATGCTGTAAGAATGAGAGGCTGCAAGCTCCCAGCCAGAGCTTTGGGAATCTTTCCCTGGAATGTCCCTGGAATTTCCTGGACTTCAGTTTCCCTGGATGGTCTTAAGAAATGAAGCTTTTGTGCAGGTGAAGCTTCTCCACGTCCTCTAACTTAGCTTTCCTCACTAAGACTAACTAAAAATGCCCCCCTCTTC